CTGTTGAGGATTATTCATTCTGATGCGCGATATAATAAACATCATATAGTCTGCGCGCAGGCTAATGTGAACGACGACTTTGAGTATTTTACGCGGCAGAATACACACACAGTACTCAGTACAACGCGCTAAAATTGGTGGTACAAATAATATAGGAATGAATATAGGAACGGAACTCGGCTAAATTGTGTTCTAGATTTTTGCGCTAAATACATGCAGGCTACTCTGAGAGTGATTCGACACAGACATGGAGGAAAATTACTTGAACGCGGAGGGAATGAAAGTAAATCACAAACGGGTTCCTTGGCTTGGTACCGCGACCATGCAAATTTTCAGCTTGCCCGTTGTCGCACCATTTGGATTAGCTTCGTCTAACATGGTCTGCTATATAGGCCTACTTCATTATCACCCGTACTCGTGTAAATTGTATTACATCTTAAACCTCCACGATAGTACACAGTATCTTTCAAATAGTCGTATATATTTTTTGTTGTTGATCAAGTTTTTGTTCAGATTTCGTGCCGTATAGTGCGTGCTGTGTTGATGGCTTCAGACCTTGTGATGATGCATTGTAAGTTTTTCAAAAATGTTAATCTATAAATGTGTATTTCAATGCATTTGTATATCGATTCTTGTGTTCAGGCTTCCGACGCAGTTTTAAAATCTAACATGCATGTCAAATACCAACATCAAGTAGGATACAAAAGTTAAAATGTAACGCGGATATCTTTCAATTAGACAAACGTTTTTGATGTCAGCTTTGTGTTATACATAAAAGCTACCACTAAATTAAATACAAATAATCGGTTAATTAGATAGTGATACATGCATTTCCGGGCAGAACTGAGTCTTGTTCTAGCTGTTGCTCTTGGTGGGCCAAGCTGGTTGTGACACATATTTCACCATCAGTTGTGTAATTTCCGATTTTCTGATGTTTCACTGTCGTATTGCAAGATTTTTACGCGCCTTCTACGTTATAGAGCAGACCATTAACCCGAGCCTTGGTAAACCGAAATTTTAAACATATATTCAGCCTGGATTCGCCGCTAATATTTCAGATTTACTTACAGCGCTTAATATTCTACAATTACTCTTTCAAATTCTAGGACGTTTGTTTTGCTATTTGCTATGAAAGCAGAATTAACCGCACAGAATTGTAGTTTTAGTATTCCGGGTTTTAGAGATTCCAGCTTTTAGTATTCCAGTGTTTCCATTCCCCGATTCCTTTCCCCCGATTCCTCGTTCTTGTTTTGGAAATAGCAATAGTCTCTGCAAGGAGACTGAACCAATCATTTCAGACTAAATACATAAAGAAATTTCATTGGACAGCGCCACTTCCGCCTGTCAGAGGGTACATTATAAAAGCAGCAACAGAATATAGACCGCCTCAGTCGGGTCAACCAAGGCTTTGGATGTGTCGCTGTCGCACGGGAGGAAAAACTTCATGCAAGCCCAAGGAGAAGATAAACGGCAAGAGGGAGATATCATGCAAGCGCAAGAAGAAGGTAGATGGCAAGAGGAAGACACCATGCAAGCAAAAGGAGAAGATAAAAGGCAAGACGAAAATATCATACAAGCGCAAGGAGAAGATAAACGGCAAGAGGAAGATATTACACAAGCGCAAGGAGAAGACAAAAGGCAAGACGAAGATATTAGGCAAGATGAAAGTATTACACAAGCACAAGGAGAAGACAAACGGCAAGACGAAGATATCATACAAGCGCAAGGAGAAGATAAACGGCAAGACGAAGACATTATGCAAGCAAAAGGAGAAGATCAACGACATCGAGATGATTTCACATGGTTTCTTGATGGCAAAAAACCATGGCAGGAAAACATGGCAGGAAACCATCGTAGAAATCCATCACAAGAAACCATGACAGGAGGAAATCACGGCAGAAAACCGTGGAAGAAACCATGGCAAGAAACCATGGAAGGAATCATGGCAGGAAGTCACGGCAAAAAACCATGCCAGGAAACCATGGGAGGGAAACCATGGGAGGCAAGAAATTGTGGCAGGAAACCATCTCAGGAAACCAAGGCTCTAAGAAGCCTTGCCAAGAAGCCATGCCAAGATGAAGAAACCATGGCAGGAAACCATGGCAGGAAACCATGCCAAGAAACCAATCCACAACAAGACCATGCCGGGAAACCATGTCAAGAAGCCATGTCAAGAAACCGTGCCAATGTGTCCTTAGTGTACAAAATCTCACTATTGTAAATAAATAAATGTAAATAAAAAATAAATAAATAAAAATTTTAAAAAAATAATAAAATTAAAAAAAATAATAAAATAAAAAAAATGTATTTTTTATCAGGCGGGTGCATCCGGTCCGCTCTGAAACCCAACTGCCTGCTGTGAAATGCAACTGCCCACTTTAGTTTTCGCGCCAAAACCCGAGAAGTGAAACAATATTGAACTAAAAAATCTGCCCAAAAAGTTTGAAAATGTAGCGTAAAGATAGTCCCAAAGATTTTATAACAAACATACTTGCAGGGAGGTGAGTCCCAGATTGGACGCGCCGAAGGTGGCTGGAAGTTTCCCAGCCTGGTCGCATTTTGATACACCACACATGATTTTTCAAAACACACACTTTCTATACAGCTACACATATCTGTCATATCATGATTTAAACGTTAATGATTGTGCAATTGATATTGATATATATTGAAATCATTCGATCTGACAAATAAAAAATTTACAATGACTAGGTTACATGTGGTCTAAAGACTCTAAATATATACAGAGTCGCATCCTATTTAAATTTTTATGTTTATACGTCCACTTCTTGCTGTGTATCCGCGTTTTACATTTTTGCTGCCGTAGCGAGCGAGCGTGAAGCGAGCGAGCGAGGCAGTAGTCCTAATCTTTATGTATATGTATATATATATATATAAGGCAGATGAAATCTCGATCGTTTCGGCGTATTTCGGCCTACCACAATGCACTGCTTCCGGGCCGGCAGGCTATTCTTGCCTAATAAACAGGCATAAGGCAAACAAGCAATGTGATCATCTTTCATCTTTGGTTTTCTTTTATGGAAAGCCATAGCTGGCGTAAGTGATCAAACGGCATTTTGTCGATACGCAGTGGTTCGAGCGTTATACGCACTGGTTTCGCTATTATACGCAGTGGTTCGAACATTATACGTGGTGCTTTCGCCATTATACGCGGTGCGTTCGCCATTATACGCAGTGGTTCGAGCATTATACGCGGTGCTTTCGTCATTATACGGGGTGCTTTTAACATAATTTCCATATTCTTTCCATGTATATAATCTCACGATTGCTTAATAAATCTGGTAGGCCTATGTGGCTGTGCTTTTTGCCTCTGGTCTGCAATGACAATGACATGCTTTTAAAAAAGGTTTACTTATAAAAAGGTGACTGCACTTTGTGAGTTTTTATATATTATCATATAGTGTTGATTTATTAGTAATAAATCTGTGTGTATAACATATAGGTATATATTAATATAACGCAGCAAATGCGCGCCAAGCAGTATAAACGCGGCTGAAATACGATATTAAAATCTTGAATATGCCGTATGATTTAATTATGTTTTAGGATTAATTAAAGCCTTTAAAAATGCTTTGTCATTTGTATTTGTACTTGTACTGCATCACAACGCAGTGCGTAAGTGAACAGATTCCACATGTGAGGTTGTCTTGCAGCCTAGTCCCAGGCTCTCTCTCTATTCGCTGCTTTGATATATTTAAATAAGTCTTAAAAGTTTTATGCCTGGGTGTGCTCCTTGAGCGGTGACGTCACACCTAGGTCCCAGTCTCGTACTACATCCACTTTTTTCTCGCGCTTGCTTCAGAACGACTGGGACTAGGCTGGTTGTCTTGTATATATTTTTGCCTTCTTTGATAAACAGTGAGACGCACACTCGCACATGTTAAATGTCACCTGCATGTCATTGTCATTGCCCTTTAACCCCTGGTCTAAATCATGATTATTGAAGCGGGGCCGTTTTGACCTAGCACCGCTGCACCGTATTTGTAGGCAAAATGTCTATACAATTTTATGTACTAGATATCACAGCCATACCTGCCATTTTGATCTTTTCCTCGCGTTAGATAAGTTGATAAGTACACTCATTCTTGTTAGCCATCGTACCTGTTCGGCTGTTCCTCTTTCGATACGAAACTTCGAGCGCCAAGTTATCATACGGCACATTCAAGTGTATAAATTATGGATGATTTCAACGGACCATTCCCCGAACAAAATTTTGAACTCAACAAATCTAGACTTTGCAATTTTCAGTCATTTTAGATTACAAACGGGAGATAGTTACCACTTCTGTGCGTAATACAAATTACAAAATGACTGAAAATTACAAACTTTGCAAAGCTATATTATCCGCATTTTACAACATTTCGCAACGAAACTTTGGAATATTACTAATTTTGCGATGCTCTTTCATGCTATGATGGAATTTTGTCTAGACTATACCAAGGCAGCATTCACTACCCTGTGGGTAAACTAGTCTTTATATGTTACGTAACACGCACTCAAAACTAATGCGTATAATATACCACTTGAGATTACGGACTTTGTTGAGATCAAAATTTTGGTTAATTGGGGAATTGTGATTACAAATATTTCTTACTCTTATTCTTTTTAAAAAATATTAAAGATTTGGGAACAATGCTATACCAAGGCAGCATTCACTACCCTGTGGGTAAACTAGT